CACCAAGCCAGAAGATTATTAGTGACCGGTCTCAAAAACAGAGCTTGTTGTATATATAGGAAAGGTTGCCCAATGTCACTGGCAACCTGGATGTCACCCCCTTCCAACTCTGATGGTTTATGGTAGACAAGATACGTTAACTACAAAATTAGCCAATTAAAATGTCCAGAGGTTAAGTGGGGACCAGCACTGCCAYTTTGCTATGTACAGCTCTTAGAAAGAAAGGCTTTCCTACACAGCACGCTGTGCTGCCTTCATGGTGTCCCAGCAGGAAAAGCTCATTTTCATTTTAACCAAGGTGATAGTTCAAGCAGAAACTCTAGGACTGACTAATCCACAATCAGAAATCCCTGACATGAGCAAAGTATGACACCCCAAGTATCCAGAACCAGGGTTGGATTCCCAGTCCAGTTGTCCTTGTTTTTGCCCAGAGAAACGGACAATACATGCAAGGTCATGACCCAGACTCGAAGCAACACTTACTGCAAGTGGGGTTGCCGACTCATGGTATGATCTTCTAAGCATTCAGAACGGCTCAGCAAGAACAAAAGTTGAAACCCATCCTCAACTCTGAAAAAGGACAGAGTGGAGAGGGCATTCAAAACTCATCTTCAACTTGAAAAGAAAAATAATGAGAATATTCATGGTGATCATAAAGAGAAATAATGATTACCTTTGATTCCTAGAGAAAGTTAATTTAAAATGCATCCAAGCTCCATTGTACTGGCAAAAAAATAAAGAAATAATAAAAAAAAAGCTGCAAAGTTGAGATAGGTCTTTAGTAAGAGGAAATACAAGTCATTGTGTCTTAACTGTTGGGAAAATGCTCATTTACAATAGCTGGGAGAAGGATTGCAGAAATTAACTGACCTTGGTTTAGATCACAAACTTTTAAAATGTAAATGATACCTGAGGACTAAAAGACACAATTTGCCCTGAGTAGCTGGCTCTAAGAAAATGGAACTTAAAAAATCAGAAAACAGCCAAATAGATGGTTCATAATTTTTTAATCAAATTAGAATCAAAAGCATTTGAAGTTATGTGCTTAGCATCCATCTTCATGGAAACTTTCAAGTTCATGTGTGCTTTGAAAGAAAAATTGTACAGACATCTGTAGTCAATAAAAGAAAATAAATAGGCATGAAACTTGTTTCACATACAGATTCAGCACAGCAAGAGATACTAAATACATAAATGTGGGGTAACCTTGATGTCTCTTTTACGTGTTGTGCAACATTTTTTTTTTTTGTACACAAGTGCAATACACTTTGGTTTTCTCCGATGTCACAGATTTCAATGATCTTTTCAAGGTTTGTGACCTTGGACATGATCTGAAAGAATCCAGTTTCACCTTGAGGTCAGAGAGTGTGTGTTTTCTTATAATTATTAACTCATAAATATTAACCGGGTACCTACCTACTAGTAAGGTTGCCAGCGTGGGGTTTGCCAGGCTTTTATATTAAAGTCTCATAGAGAAAAGGAAACTTAATCACTTTACCTAATGGTAGTTGCTTAACTCTGGGTCTGCCATCAGATCTGAACTCCCTGAGGACCCCATCCCCTTGTGACCCTCATCTCTAGTCAGTTCAGGGCTGGCTCACAGGAGAAGTGTTCAACAACATATCTTTGATTGATCCAACTTAGGACTATTGTTAAGGTTTATATATCTTAACCACATAGTGCAGGGAAGTGTTGAACTTTAAAGCCTATAGTTTTTATGAGTTTGGGGCATGAAATGTACATTTTTTTTTCTTTTGATCCCAGGTGCTTAACCACTGAGTCCCATCCCCAGTCCATTTGCGACAGGGTCTCACTGAGTTACTTAGGGCCTCGCTAAGTTGCCAAGGCCGGCCTCACACTTGGGATCCTCTGCCTGAGTCTTCCAAGCACTGGGATTATAGGTGTGTGTCACTGTGCCCAGCTGATGTGTGCATTTCTTTTCTGCTAAGAACTAGTAGGAGAATTAGCTGCTTGTGCTCATAGTCCATTCTTTAACTGGAACCCAGAGTTGCAGAACACAGGTGACAGGTATTATTTGGTTTGGGAAGGTGTGATGAGAGAGCACACCTGATGAGAGTAATGCAGATATTTCACAGAGATACCAAAGAGATCCATGGCTGTTTTTATTTCTGAGGAGATTCAATGTCAGATCATTTCTATTATTTGCAGTCCTTTACTTAAGAGTGTGTCAAAGTGGATTTTAAATTGAGGTGATATCAAGTTAAAATCATGTTGAATGTTAAAGAGGGACAGTTGTGATATGATCCCAAAATTTGCCTGGCAGGATTCCATAAATCTTACAAGTGCTAAACAATCCCATCATATTAATGACAAGAAACAAGAAATAAAACTTTTATAATGCCATTTCATAAATTAGTGAGATGTCAGTGATAATCTGTATAGTTGCTCATGGGAACAAAATCTTGTAAAAATTATGACTCAGGATTTCTCTGTCCCACCTTTGCAAGGCTATATTAAACTCTTTATTTAAAGTTTTTTAACTCCAAACCTTTTTTTGTGGTGTGAAACTCGAACTCCTAAAAAACAATCTGTTCTTCTTATGATAATGCCACATTGATCATTTTTTTCTTTCTTAATTGGATTTTAAAATAAATGTCTTTAGATGGATAATTCCTTATAGACCTGTAATGTTTATGAATGTTTCGATGAAAGATGGAGGCAGTATGGATTTTGTGGATGCCGGCTCATAATGTTTATCACAGGAGGGTGCTTTTAAGGAGAGACGTTATATGGATGGAATACATAGTTCCCTAACATCGTTTGTCCTGTTTAGATTTGCTATATGTAGTATTTCAGCAGTGTGGCTGAAACAGGGTTGAACAGCACAGTAATGGAAACTCCCCTCTTAAATCTATAGTTTACTGTATTTCATCTTCTCAAAAACCATCACATAGAAATGGATCTACCATACAACACATGGCCCCATCTCTCCCTGGTCCCCCAAGCGGATCCGTTTCGTTATTGACTCTGTGAGTCACCCTCTCCTTGACTGCATGTAACTTAGACAGTCTTCCATTCTCGTATGATGTTTATTACGAATCTGTTAAAGCCAGCTGTAAATTGATCAAAAATGAGACCAAACATTATTTGCATTCAGAATACCATTAGAAAAACAAATACGGAAGAAACAGAAAAATCCCTTGGTAGAGATCCTGTTATTTTCTTTCACTTGTGATGGGACTTCCCTGCTTAGTGTCTCTGAATCTCTCTAATCAGAATCTTTGAAGCAAGACAATCCTAGTGAACAGGTTGAGTATATTCCTAAACATCATGCTCTAAAAGCATTTTTTAACTGAAACATAGACTTGAAAATATTTTCATCTTATTCCCTTTAAGCCAAAAAGCATAAATTTACAATGAAACTAAAGAGAATTTTTTAATGGATTGAGAAAATTTCTTCTCATTTATTCTCAGGAAGTCTCATGTAAAAGGACTATTAAAATGATGAGCTGCAGTGTTTTGACAAGCACTTGTACTGCAAAAAGTTGAAATCGCACTGGAATACAGTTAGGGCATTCTTCTCTACAGTGAATATGCCCTATTTAAAATCTAGGACAGATCATGTTGATACGGAAAAAGGAAATAACTATGTGAACAATACATCTGAAATTAAAGACGGAGTTGTTGGCATCCATCTAAAATCAACAGGAAATGTAATTACTCTTTGAAAGTACTCTTGTCCTATCTTAGAGTGCTAAATGGATTTTTTAAAAAAGAGCAAGATGTTATTTGTATTCAGAATATCATTACGGGAACAAACAGAGCAATGATCTGATAACAAGTCCCATGATAGCGACATGGGGAAAGAAAGCCAGTCCACGTTATTAAGCAGTATTGTTCCCTCCCATGACGTGGCTCCTGGCTCACTCTCTCCCAGGATCTCTCTAGAGATGGAGGTGGGTCCAAGAGGAAGTTTAGAGGAACTCAGAAGGGATCCCTTTAATCATAGTTACCACCTCATTTTAATAACTGGACTCCAGGGTGTTGACTGTTCATTTTTCCACAGTCTGCAGGGCCCTGACTCCAGCCGGGTGAGGATGCTTGCCAAGCCAAGGGTGGTTTTCCATTGTTTAGGCTGGGATCAGGAGATGATAATAATGCTACTAATGCTATTCTTTGAGAGCATACATTTGTCAGTGAGATCCTAAAGTAATGTATAGGTATAAATGGGGAAATCAATGGACATTCTGAGGTCATTTGATTCACGTGGCCAGTTCACCGATCACACAGGTTGTCATTTCTCCAAGTTCTCAGTTTGAATACATTTGGTACATATATGTTGGTAATGTCTGGGTTTGACTAGCATTAAAATTCATCTTTAGACCCATGTAGTTTGTTGGACCCCTCTCTGGCTTCTAAGAGATGATTGCAATGAGTTAAGTTTCTCAGAGGCAGAACAATGAGCTACGAATTATCAAGCCTAGCCAGTCGGTCTGTCTTTATTATGTCTTTGCTGCAAAAAAGGAACCAAGGCAGTCTTAGGCTGGTAGGGATCAGCCATTTGTGTTGTTTCAATGCATACACAATTTTGGGACCATGTATGTTACTTTGAATATATTTAATAACAATAAACCAGAACRAACATTTCTCTTCCTAGGTTTGTAAACGTCTCCCTTCTTTCCCTGTAAGCATTCCACATTGCCAGAATGTGAAAACATGCATTTTAAAATGATTTCTCACCACTGAATAAAGTAAAACATGTAGTGGAGTGACCAGCACCCGTTCTCTGCAATGACAGGCTAGTTGCTTAGGAGAGACAAATGTGCACACACTCGTAAACATATTCTTCAGAACATATACCAGGCACGTGACCAATGGTGGCTACCGGCACACAGCTTATTGATACCATCTTTTCAAATGCATATTCTTCCTATATAGGTAGACTTATAGATTGTCATGCACAGTTCTCATGGAAACATGTCTAACTTGCGGTGTAGACAAGAACACATATACAAATAAAAATTAGATTGTTTTCTTACCTTTTGGAAAGCAGTCAAAAGCTATACTGTTGGTGGAATAGTGTACCAAGTGACAGACTTTTGTACACTCTTTCTTACTGGTGGGATACAGTCTACAGGAAAAGTAAATATATAGGTATATATAAAATAAATATGCACATAGATTTTCTTTCCATTATTATTATTTTTCTTTCTGCAGAAAAGGCTGCGATAGAGACCATAGATATCATGTCCCCTCTTTGAGGGGGTTTGGTAGCCTTTGGTAGACCAGTCTGCCACAATTCAGGTACCTCTGAACATGGGAGTATTGGTGCCTCTGGGGTTTACTTTCTTGTGTTGGAACAGCTGAGGGAACCACCTTCCAAATAACTCATCTATCTGCTCTGAGCATCATTTGCTTCCTCTGGCCATGCCTCTTGTCTCAGCCTAGCCGGTCACACTGACCATCTGCAATGCTAGTCCAGAGAGATGAAACAAGTAGCGTAATGTCGAGAATGTTAAGATTCCAAACACATGAAGAAGCCAAAACAAAGCAAAGCACTGTGACAAATGAACACAGCACGGGAGTGTGTTCCAGAAGTTTCGAGGCATCATGGCTTGCGTAGAGTTGGGTACCCACATCCATTTTCCAGCAGCAGAAGAGGTTTCGCGTTGTGTGTGTGTGTGTGTGTGTGTGCGCGCGCACGAGCACGCTCAAATGCCTCCTCCTGGCCACACTTCTACTCTTTTGTGTGATTGCTTTCTTCAAGGGAAACTCAAGATTTTCAGTTACGTGTTCTCCTTATGATAAATAGAGAAATGGTAGTGAAAGAAAAGCAGTATCAGAATATAGACTCATCTTTAAATTATTTTATATTTGAAATCAAATATAAAAATATTTGATTCTTGAAACAGTCTCGCCTCTACAATATGTTCATCTGCTTAATACCATCTTTTATCTAGTATCTGTTCAGCCTCTGTTTCAAGGTCATTTATCAGACCTATATCTCTACTTCCAGGATGGGGTTGTGTCCCAAGCTGTCCACCTGCCTTMCATGTCCAGCTTTTTGAAGGCAATCTACAGTTGAGGTGTTTCCTGTGCTTTGAGGGGACACTGGCTTAGAAAGTGGATGGTKTCTTACTTAGGTCAAAAGTAGCTTGAGACCTCTCATTATTACGTACTGTGATAGCYATGCTATCTCTTAGTGACATTATCCATCCAACTTGGAAAGGATCCTTGGGGCCATCAGTGAATGACAGACCAAGCACAACCATGTCCTTCTATTTATTTGGCATCATTATGTTCACCATGAACTAACATACGGTAGGTAAATCAGTAGTAGAGAGTACAGGGAAAGATGCCAAAATCAGGAGACAAATGACTTAAGATCCTCAGACTGAAGGGACCATCTTAGATAAATCTAAAAATATCCAAATCAGTTTAGGCTCTACTGAACCCCTCATGACATGAGCTTGCTATTTGTCATTTGAATGGAGAGACTTGTAGCCGGTGGCCCTGGTTTGAATATGTACTATTATGTACTATTAGTGCAAAGATAACATTAAATTATATTTTTTGTTTCATACCCCAAACTGTTTTTTATTAGAGCATTATATAAGTATACATAGTAGTTCAGTTCATTTTAACAAAGTTATACGTGCAGGGAATTTGATTTCAATCTGMATTCTTTGAAGCAAGGGGATTTTTGACTGAAGAAGCAACTTGAGGGAAAACTAACTCCTTGACGAATAATAGACCATCCTAGGGCAGTTTAGGTGACTGCCCACGTGAAGCCGACAAGCAGGTTCAGGGCTGTGTAGACATGTAGTAGCTGTGTGGACTGGATGGGTGGCGGGAAGTGTGCATGCAGCAGGTGGCAACTGCAGCGATGGAGCAGGGCTGTTCAGAATGCAGACACTCAAGGTTGAATACACTGCGACTGAGTGCTTAGAGCAACAGTGAGCAAGAGGGTATTTCTGTTCTGTTATTTACTTTATAGCTCATACTGTAAACTCAACTTTCTTCTCAGATACCTTCTCTCAGAAAAGAGAATACAGAATTTTTCCACTGAAGATTTTTTCAAGTGCATGGTCTCTATTTTTGCTTTTAAAAACCAGCAAATAATTTCTTTGTCTTCATTACTAAAGTTTAGATATTAGAGAAAAATGAGCTATATATATTTTTAATATCTTTATTTTTATTTATTTTATTGTGATGCTGAGGATCGAACCCAGGGATTCACAACGTTCAAGGCAAGCACTCTACCACTGAGCTACACTCCCAGAACGAGCTATATTTTTTTATTGAACAATATTATGATAACGCTTCCTAGCATCAAAGCAGTATCACCTATTTATATTAATTGAATAATTAACTCCTACTCTTTACACACTTTAAATAAGAGACTTTCCAGTGAATTGCCATCTAGGATAACTACTTGTGTTCCATACTGGTTGCTCCTTTTGGAATCATTTTAAATAACTGTTTCTTATCCATCTTGGGTGCATTTCAAATTTTTATTAATTTTTTGATTCCTTTAGATTGGATCTGTCCCAGGTCAGCATTGTAGCTGAAGTTAAGGGAGTTTTCTCCATTAAAGACTCAGACTGAGTGTCCTAGAATGAAATCCTTGCAATCTAGAGCTGTGTCCTCCAATACAGCAGCCACAGCCATGGGTGTCTATTTAAACTTGAATAATTGAAAACAAAGTAAAATATGAAAAGTGTTAGGTGAGTAGTATAATTTCAAGGGCTCTAGCACCTGTGTTAATGCTGACTGAATTGGATACAAAGGTTCTAGTACATTAATACCACTATAGCACGTGCYACTGGACAGCTTTAGTGAAACTAAGATCTTTGAGTTTCTCTTGGACTTTAGAGGGTTGGGTCATCAGAAACCCCAATGTTTGGAGGTACATGAATCTCCTCCTATGGTTCAGAAACATCTAGTCCAAGTTATTATGGTGTTTAAGGGTCATAATATGAAAAGTACTGAAAGAATCTTAAGATATTTTTCAGACTGGTGGTGAGACTGGTGGTGAGTCAAAGCAAATCTACACTGATTTGCTCAGTGTAGACACCCAGAACAGCATTTAAAAAAAAAAAAAAAGAAGAAGAAAGAAAGAAAAAAGAAAACTTGATATCAAGGAAAGACAACCAAATGGAATAATTGTTGTGATTGAAATAGATAATGGAATATTTGGATTTCTGAGTAAGATGAGGCCTCTACCTTGGCAGCCTTATTKGAGTTCAGTTTACTCCTGTCTGTAGACAATACAACAAGTAATAATTCGTTTCAAAGCACATTTATCTTAAGCATCTTCCACCAAACATTATTATCATAACCACATAACCAGTCAACTGCAGTGTACTTTTAAGCAAAACATTTTGCCTCTTCAGGAATGGAATAAATTGGCATTTAGTTGATACACCATTTGCTAGATGCATAATATTTTTTATCATCTACTTACATCTTATATTCCACTTTATATGTAAAGATATTTAATTTTAGAAAAGCACAGTGACTCTCACAGCCTTGTGACTATGGAGAGGAGGAACCTGGCTTTGAACTCAGGTATGTCCACACCCAAAAGCCTCTTCCTACAACACAGGGAGTGCCACAGTGCTGGACCATCAATTTTTTTTCTTCTGAGTTGCTCTTAAGAGATACAACAGAACCTACACACTTGTTCTGTTGGACCYCTATCAGGGAAATTATTTTCCCCTCTCTTGCCTTGTTACAGATTCTACTCTACTGAGAAGTCAAAGTGAAGACCAAATGTTGGTTCTAACCTTGCTACTCTCTACTTACTTTCAAAGTGTTGTACCACTTTTGTTTCACTATTTAGAAGTGGAGACTGGCCAAGACTTGGGTCTTTGTATGTTACCCAGTTGGCCTCTTGAATTTTCTGCTGGGCAGTAAGCATTTTGCCACAGTTAGGTGGAATATCATAAACACTGGAATCTTTCATCCTATATGGAAGGGGCCAAAATATTCTAGGAAATCAAGTCTTAGAACTGAAAGTTTTAATGTAAAATTCACTCTGACACACAGTATCTCAAATCTCATATTTCTTCCTTTATTCCAGCCCTAAGGTTTTGTTTTTAAGAGAACAAATCTGTTGTGCAAGGGTGTGGGACATTTTCCCCACATAGTGATGCCATTTTTACATGGTGGTGGTCTGGGCCTATGTACTTCAATGAGAGTTAGACAATTTTATTGAACATTTTATGCTTTTTTTTTTTAAAGTCTCTAGGAGACTTGCTTAGTAAAGAATAACTAACTTTCTTCATATGCATGTACCAGTGGAGAGGAGTCAGGTTTCCTAAGATCTTAATCTAATTTTATTTCTTCTGCTACAATTCATTAGGTATAGACATTTGCCTAACAGGAAGTCGTTTCCACCAGCAGGAAGGATGCAAGGTGGCATAATCTGAGAGGTGTATTTATGTCAATTGTAACTAAGGACACCAAGCAAGGGAAAGAGGAGGCTTTGTACTTTTGAAGCAGAACTTCTAAAGGCTTTTTATCAATGGGGAGTAGAAAGGAAATGGTGGCAGGAATGAGTCAAACTCAGAAGAGCAAGAGTTAGCATTCACCAGAGCAGCACACACCACATTTTCTAGGGCCTCCTGATGCAGGATGGGAAGATGAAAGAAAGGAGTTACTTACTGTTTGGGTCTACGTTTTCACAGAGTTCTGTCTTTGCCTCACCGTTGGGTCTGTCACTGGGTTTGTGTGACAGCCGCGATGACATGGTGGCTGCTGTGACTACCGCCTTGAAGCTTCGCTTCCGTTTCTGGACATTGAGTTCAGGGTGGAAAATGATGATGTACACTTTCGGCATGTATAGCATTCCCAGCGCCACGGACGCACTTAGGTTCATGGAGATTGTAAGCGTGGTAGTTTGTATGTAGAGCTAGGAGACACAACACACAAGGCACTATTACAAATAAAATGACCGCAGAGGGGGTCTGCATACTTGAAGTGATATCAAGGGTAACTAGGCCTAGGAGGGAAAACATAGCAACCGTCTAGGGCCTTACAAAGAAGGAAGACAGAATGACTGCACATTTATTGGAAGGATAATGTATATTAACTGATTGGACATCATTGGGTAAGTACAGAAGTGAGCTTGCCTTGAAGAAGTCTTCTGTGTGGAAGTTCGGGGAAGACCTTTAATCAGAGTTAAAGTAATTTTTCTTCAGAATGGCAGGTATTTTATAAAGACATGAAGACCATAGAAATTTCTAATCTGGAGTAAGGAGTGGCTATTGTTAATTTCACCTGTGCAGAAATTCTGGGACCTCATTTGAAAAATGTTTGTTAATAAATGCCCTTTTTTGGGGGTATCATTTTAATAATACTGCACCTTCAGCATCCCTACAAAGTACTGAGTAAAGTTTTCCTGGAAAGTAAGACCTTCTTGCCTAAGTCTGTGTCACAAAAGACTAAGTCCCAAGACATACTGATCCTGTCTTGTCCACTCTACATTGTCCAAATGCTAATAGAATGAAGAAAACTCATTCTACCATTATGTTATCTGTAGTTTGGATGGTGCCCTGTGCTTGTCCTTGTCTCCTTTTGCTTCCTCAAGAAATCGGTGGATCTACCACTCATGTGGTGCCTGATGTGTGAAGTCATTGTCTTAGCTATACATTTGAAGATGGTTAGTTAGCTGAAGGATGTGGAAACTTGGAGTCAACACAGGAAAGGCCACCGACAACTTACGTTGGTCCAGTGTGTCCTACCATGCTAGGACCCCTCATGTGATGATCAGGTGTGTGCTTTGCATGTTTCTAAATGCTAGGCTAAATTCAAGCATCACCTCTTAAAGTTGGTGGAAAGAAGAGTTCCATGACAATGGATTTGCCTGTGGTGTCCCACAGCTAGGCTGACTGCCATATTGACATAAATTCCTATTCTTATTGGAGTCTACGTGGTCCCAGTTGGTATGTACTGGACTATTTTTTCAGACAAAATTTTCACCATTCTTCACCTCTCTGTCCCCTCTACTGGCAACTCTACCTTTCCAAGGCTCTATCCCCGGGGGCTGTCTTTCAGACTTTGAATGCGTTGTGCTCATTCAGCCAGGAAATCTTTTTAGAAATTCTTCTTTTCCTGTGTGTGGAATGTTTCTCCATCCTAAGCTGCCCTCTCCCACAGCTTCAAATCAAGGCCGACTTGATTACTTACACACTCTCAAAGGACTATTGTCTTTCCATCCTTGGTCTCAGTTTGTAATTACATATACTCTCTACCATGATTATTTGACTAACCATCTCTGTAACTAGGCCTTAGGGTCCAGGAAGATAGAGTCCTTATATCTGTGTTGCAGGCAAATATCAGATTCTTGATAAATAGGATAGATGGTTTCATTTGTTTGACACCTTTCTCCTTCCTATACCTTGGTGATCAAACAGCCTTCCTTTAAATAACAGGAATTTCCATCAGCACTACTAACTGCCTGGACATCTCTGATGTTAATTCTTCAAATTCAGGCCCCTGTAAAAAAAAAAAATCAAGAGAGACTTTGCCTTCTCATCTGGAAGGAATGAAGTTTTTTCACAAACGAGAATTTGAATTTGTATGTCTCTGAACAGTGAAAAGAATCTGCCAGCTGCTGTGACTCTATAATACACAATGAATATAAAACAGAAAGACAAAGCAATGTTGAATTAATGATCCTTTGGGTTTTTAATTAGACCATTTTTTTTTTTTGTAGCTCATCTTTTCCTACTGGAATATCTTTAGATTTTGAATGTCATTCCATACTGCTAGCCTGCTAGCATGCACTGTTCAAAAAGGCTCCTCATGGGCACAGAGCTCTATGGTGCCGGCTTTCTTCATGGTCACAGGTTATCATTGCACTCATGAGGGTGTTGCAGTCCAAGAGAGCAAGGGATATAAGCAGATCTGTGGTAACTTAGGTTTTGTTTACATTTCTCTGCTTATGAGCAAATTCTACAGTTGGAATTGTTCACTCATTTCTCTTAAGAAAGACAACTGAAGTCTTTTAAATGACATTATTGGGACTTTGAGATAAACACACATATGTATACATACGTCTCTGGTAACACTTGAGAAATATATAGAAACAAAGATAAATGTCACGGGCCACACATTCTTATCCCTGTTCCCAGCCCACAGGTTCTCCTTATGCAGCAGGGAAGAGGAGAATAAGGAATCTATAGAGATAGTCCTGCTGAATTCAGTTAACTTTTACTAGTCCTGTATCATTTATCCTCAGCTTTCATGTTTGTAAAATGAGAATACTACTGTCTCACAGTGTTGACATATTTTTTTTATGTGGTTCTTAGGTTTGAACCCAGTGTGTCACACATGCTAGGCAAGTACTCTACCACTAAGCTACAATCCTGACCTGCCTATATCCTTTTTTAAACAAAGTCTCTAGGCCCGGATTTACCCTTTCTCTGGGTATCACCTTGGCTTATCTGTCCTGCTCAATACGTTAGCTAAAGCTTTTCCCATCTTCTAGGTCAGGCCTGCCTCTTTTCCCAAGTTGTAGCTCAAAAAACACTCACCTTGCTCTGCTTAGAGCATGGTCAGTGGTGGCATATGCTTTCAGAGTGCAAAGTCCTTTCGATGGGATTTACATGTTAGAAAGTAATTTGAGCATCACAGAAAGTTCATGCTACAACTTTGTGATTTCTTCAAGAAACCGTACGCAAACAGTAGGCTGCATCTCTCTTTGTCAGTACACAAGACCCACACTTGCCCATGTTCCAAACATCTGCTGGCTACCCGCTTCCAGAGTCACTGACAACCAGCAGTTCTTTTGGAATCAACTTCCTTGTGCAAATGATAGGCCATTTTTTAAGGTATTGAGTGCAATAGTAAGTATTTATTATCATGTCCCTAGCACAATTTTCCCTATCAATACTCAAGTCTTTTGTGACAKAAATTTGCATGGCATGGTGAGTGTTATAGGATATGGGTGTCAAGTTACAGCACAACTGACTACATGATAAACACCATGTCAGTATTAAATTCTGGTTAATGAAAAAGTTATACACCTGAAAGAAGTATTAGGTCTGATAAACATCTTTAGCATTTACTATTTTTTCGAGAAAAGCCATCATTCACAGTTCATTGTAGTGGTAGTTTTCCTATTGCTTGTGCTGCAACTCTATTTCCTCATTACCAGAGTGAAGATAATAATGCCAAATACAGGACAGTGCCCAGCATATTAGCAACCACTCAATAAAGGATGTTAGTATCATTTATTGGCTGTAACAAAAAATACGTTATATCAACACTGTTCTTTTTTCATAGTCTTAATACATCTTGAGATGAGTGTCTTTCTTACACAATCCACTGAATAACGGCATGTGTTAGGGAGGAAAATCTCATTAAGCTTGTTTTATTTTGTTGTTGGAAAGTATTCTCAAACCCCTATTTCATCTGTCATTGACTATTTCATGAGAAATAACCAATTTTGTATGTTCCCAGGTGACAGTTGAGAATTGGGACAAGAAAGCTTTAATGGAGTCTTTAGGTTGGATGGGAGAAGTTTCATAATTCTCACCACACCCCAGAGTCTGTGTAATAAAAATGAAAAATGTGCCTGATGTGACAGTAGAGAGGAAGGATGTGTTATTATCTGCATTTGAAATATTGATGTGACTAAACCAAAATGAATGTTCCTGTACCAAAGACCAGTACTTGCTAACTTTTCCACCTGTAACCCCTGCTTTTTAATTGCAGTGGCCATCGCTGGGAAGGGACAGAATGTTTGCAGTCAGGATTCCCAGAGGTCACCATACTGAGGGATTTTTTTGTGGGTAAGAAATAATAGAATGATCCAGTATGTTAATGAAGGAAACACTGCTTCCCCCCATTCCCTGGGGGTCAAGGAATTTGTATCTTCTATTAGGATAGTTTAAAGAAAGGTTTTTTTGTTTGTTTGTTTTGTTTTGTTTTTTGATTATTAGAATTGATTTTTGAGTCTTGGCCTTAGACTACTGGTGAGTGATTTGGGGCAAGTTACTTCAGGACTGGTTAATGAGTGAGTCAAAATTCAAACCAGATTGTTTACCAGAGTGCCGGATATAAAATCTTCCTCTTTCTACCTTTACCAAGAAGACTTTCCTAGTGATTTGAAGATAAAAGGAGATCATGTGTGCAAAGTAGTCAGCATAGTATATGGCATATGGTGGTGGTTAGGAATTCCAAGTGTTGTTATTAGACAGCTTTATAGTCTGCAGAAATGCTTCATGCTGTTCTATTTAGACCTCCAATCTTTAAATAGATGTTAGACAGATAGATAATGTAGTTACAGAAATGCACACCACACACCAAATAGTCTGGGGTAGGCATCTGATCATTGAATCATAAACAACAGAGAAAACTAGATGATTACTGAACAAGACCTAGTTTTACGTGTTTTGTATTTGTCATTGAATGGCTGCAGGCAGACACGGTACTAAGTCTATATGCAATTGCATTATTTATTTGACGTAAGGCAAGTGCTCCAGGTGAATACAAATCAGTTTCTGGAGCATGAGATAAGTGATTTTGTTTATGCTCGAAATCAGCTACATCTCAGAAGTTTGCTCTGCTGACCGGAAACCTGATGCTGTGTCTTTTCCAACATAGTGTAACCAGAGGGATGCCGTCATTGCAATTGAGCACATCCTTGGGAAGGCTTAGTGTTGCCCTCCCCATGGTACTTGGACAAGCTGCAGGCTGCCTTGATGGTCAAGTCTTGCAGAAAAGCCACTTCTAATTCCAWGCACAGCCCCCCACACATACTGATTGAGAGAATTTCTGACCTCTTATCCTTGATGTCAAAAATATTTTCCCCTTCCAGTTGTCAAGGAGGAGCTCTGACAATATTGGCTAGATAAAAGAACACTGTTGGCTCGGTTGCATGATCTAAAAGGTTATTTACCACTC